TTTCAAGGCAAGATATGCTTGTGAAGAAAGCCAAGTCACAGGACTAAAATGCAGGTGACACTTAGGCCTACTCAGAAGTCCAACTAAATCAGTCAGTGGCCCTTCCGATTCTAAGCTATGGGGTGAGAGAGGAGGAGGAAGTTAAGGAAAGCATGTAGTTATTCACACTGCTACGAGAGGTGCGTGACATGACTCTATCTGGTCAAACAGCTCCATACTGCGCAGTCATCACTGAAAACCTTGGGATTTACATATCTGTGCTTACCCCATTCTGTTCACGCTTAAATCCAGAGGTAAAGATTTTTTTTACTCTTCTCCCACTACACTCCAAGTCCGAGCAGTGAAGAAGACTTAGTGGTTTTGTCATTTTCCTTAAAGCACATGCTTAGTAAGCCAAGAACAATGCTGTCAGACACCAACAGGTAATGATAAACCAATCATTTATTCCTTGGAATCATAACTGTGCAGATGCCTTGGAGCAAGTTTTCAGTTTATGTTTTAATGCTGTTATTGTAATGGCAATTGTCACATGTCAAGTGATGATGTAAAAAGGCATCCAGCCTTAGGATGCTGACAGCATCCAGTACTCCAAAGGAGCCGAGAACTTGTCATAGGCACAGCGAGTCTGTGACAGGTAAGTAATTACTATTATTATTAAAAAAAAATTATAAACATATGAAATTTAGCAGGACTTTAATTTCTTTTACTTCTCTGAACAAAAACACCGGATACCTTTTCCGGGTGCTCCAGCTTGCCCTCCTTCTCATGTTATTAACAGGCCAAAAGTTATCCAGTCTTTTAAAAATTTAATCATAGCACATGTTTTGTAACTTTCCACTGAAGTGGATTTGATACCTGAACAACAGAGTGCATAACAATTCAACTACTGTATAGTAGAACATCTTTGATAAATCAATGGAGCAAATGCTATAAGCAAATAAAAATACACCTGCTACTTAATGAACATGCAAGCTCAAAGATGGGTTAAGTTAGAAAAGAGAAATACTCTTACCACGTACAGTTATTAATTTAATAATCCCCACCCCCCCACACAGCGGGAAAAAAGATGTGAAAAGTGCTATTCTCAACTGCATAAAGTATGGAGTATAAGGCTTTTTAAATTCAAAACACTTTCTACAATGGAATAGCCCTTTAAACACGAAAAACACTGGACTGAATTCTCTTTCTTGGACGGACCTTAAAAAGAAAGCAAATCCTCCTTACCCATCCCTCAAAGCCCTCATTCTCACCAGCAAGCTGAGCCAGCAAAAAAAAAGAAAAAAAACCCCAACAACAAAACATAGAGGAAGTAAATCAGAAATATACCGGAGTGCTGCTAACTCTGTAACTGAACTACCAGCGAGAGCCTAAAGAAGTTTGGTGAGCATGGGAACTTGTGACTCTGAAGGTCAGTAGTTAAAGCAGTATCTGGAACACCCAGAACCACAATTTGGGCTTTGATAATCCTATGTTAAGATAGATAATTCAGTGAGAGATACGGAAAACAAGAATATTTTGCAACTGCCCTGATCTTCATACTTCTGTCATAAATAGTTTTTCATTGTTGTAACATCCAGACTAACATTACACAAGGGATGCATTATAAAAATAACAATATTCACACACAATCCAGATGCTCCTCTTTCCCATGAATGTACTACTGAAGTGTTTAATGTTCATCAAGCTCATACTTGTCAAAGTCACAACCCAAAAGCAAGAAGACAAGCTTTGAACAATGGGAGAAGAATGTGTCTTCAGCCTACACACTCATTACCTTAGTTTTATAATTCAATGAAAACATGACTTCTTTCTCCTGTGAGTTTGATCCTGTTTCTGCCAGGCAATAATTTTAGCTTTTCTTCTACACCCCTGGCAACAAATGAGAGGGTACTTCCTTACAACGGCGAAATTGCACTTTTGGAGCAAAATATAAATAAACTAAAAATAAGAAGGACCCTTGCCCAGCTACCTGCAATGCCCTACTTTCTACCCTCATTAACAAGCAGCCAACCCCTGGGATTTGGAAAGCAGAGCAGGCACGCTTGAGCAACCGCATGGTAGTGGTTGCCACTACTCCCAGGACAGCTCTCCTCAAGCACTGTTTTTCCAGTTCTCCAGCTGAAAACATCTCAAGAACATCCTGTGTGAGACAGCAGTTAAAATGAAGCAGTGCTGAAGCAGTACTCACACAGCTGTCTGTCAGACGCCGTATGCTTTGTAGAAAGGAAGAACAATTCTTAAAGCTACCCTTTAGTTAGCTTTATAGCTAATGGAATACTTCCTTGATTTTATGTAAAGTAGTATTAACTTGCAGAAAAGTGACAGCACCTGCTTACTCAATTTAAGCCACTGCAGACAACATTTCAGCTGAAATTTTCACTAAGAAAATACTAATGCTTTCTGACTAGTACATAACAAGGATATACTGGTATTTTTCATGATCACATCCAGCACAGATAGGAGAAGAGACTTTAAAAGGGTACTTCCACTGCTGTGAATTATACTGCTATGAAAGCCT